CTGGAGGAGGCCACGATTCCTAAATTCACCAGCAGCTGGACATTTGTTTCTAGTCAAACCCTGTGAGGTGCTGGGTCAAACCCTATCAGCCCACTGTCTGCAAAGGGTTGGGGGGAGTATCTGAAGCATCTTCTGAGGGTGAGGAAGGGAAACAAAAGTCTAACTTCTCTGCGGTATGGCTGAGCCAATGTCATTGGTCCTAGCATAGGGCTAGCGGGTGGGGGGAAGGTGAGCCCCTTTGTTCCCATCAATTCTTTCCCATCAGTCTGGTCAAAATGCTCCACATAGCCACAGACAGAGGAGACTGACTGTACTGTGAGGGCCAATTCTGCGTTGGCTGTGAGGACCAGGTGACCGTTCCACCCCCTAGAAGCCTTTGCATCTCTAATACTCACGATCCTGTGATGAATGGAAAGGGGCAGGGAAAGTAAAGAAAGATGAAAGAGGACGCACTATGCATGCTCAACCAGACTCAATGAGCTGGCACTCTTCCCTCTACCACCAGCTTTCTGGTGTCGGATGCGGAGCAGAAGTATTGGATTATTAGAGATACTGCTGCATTTAAAGTGATTTGCTTTTTCTTCCTGTTGGATGATGATCAAATAAGTCCTAGAAAAGAAACTAGTTCATAGAACTGTTCTAGAGTCACAGGGTGTATTGTGGAAACTCCCTCTCTGTCCCCCACTGATCAGAGAGCAAAGACACTAAGCCAGGAATATGAGTCAGACGTGGGCTAAGAATCATGTGTTCCCGTCTCAAGTTGCCCAGCGCGCAGAAGTGAAGAAATGTTTCCAAAGGCAGAGTTGGTGGGAGAAAGGAAAGTTTTGAGCTGAGCAATGACAACAGAGCAGCCAGTAACACTAGTTGCAGGATACACATTCTGATTTTACACATGCTGTATATGAGTGGCATTCAGTGCCTGCAGCCCAAGAGCCAGGTGGCTGAATGATAACCGAGCTCATTATCTGTGCACATGTAAATGCCTGTGTGTGCATGTATAGGGGAGTGTCTGTCAGCATGCATGTACTCGTATGTTTGCAGGCAGGCACACACATGTAAGCATATGAGCAAGCTTCTCCTTTCAGGGCCTGAAAGTATGGGGGAAATCTGTGTGCTGGGGAAAAGATCCACACCAGGTTTTCTGCTATTATGGCCCGGCCTGTATGAATCTCTTCCCAGTGCTTAGATTCCCAGTCCAAAGGCTGCTGTTGGACAATCGGCCGGGCGGGGATTGTCTCTTGGTTGTGTGTTTGTACAATGCCTAGCACAGTGAGGTCTTGGGGGGGGGGCACTATCTCCATACAGCTAATAAATAATAGGAACCACTGCTTCAGCTTCAGTCCTTTTCTTTCATCTCCTATCTCTCTTTCCCCCATCTCTTCCTGCCCTTGGATTACCAGTGCTACTATAAAAAGCAACAGAGGGTCCTGCTGAAGAAGTGAGGTTCTTACCCACGAAAGCTTATGCTCCCAATACTTCTGTTAGTCTTAAAGGTGCCACAGGACCCTCTGTTGCTTTTTACAGATTCAGACTAACACGGCTACCCCTCTGATACAGTGCTATGATGTGGCTGTTCTGGTGTATTTGCTTCTTCGCACTCAGGCCAGCTACGTTTGCTGCTGTAAAACTGCAGGGGAGATCCCATCGGCTCCATTGTCTCTGGACCGACCGTTTGAAGGGTGTTTCCGTCTGATTAGTTGTCCATTGGCCAAATATTCAAATTCTGACCTCCCTTTGTGCCCAGGCAGTCACTTGCATGTGTGAGGGCAAGGGCAGGCAAATCCCACTTGTGCATACTCATCCGGTGCAGATGGGTTTTACAAATGGAAATTCTGCTGATTGTGTGTGTGAGAGCGAATACACAACCAAAATGTTCACGTTGGTGATGACGTGCAAAAGTAGAGACTGGGTTGAGGCTCCTTTGAAAGCTGTGCTCGGAGTCATTCTCTTTCCCATACAAGCTTGTTCCGTAGAAAGCTCTATAGGCACAGGAGAAGAGTATATACTACTGGGGGGGTTACATTTTGTAGCGTTGCCAACTCTCATGATTTTATTGCAAATCTCATGATATTTGCTGTTTTTCCTAAAGCTCCAGCTCCTAGGCTCATGGGATTACATGAGAAGTGTTGCCAGCTCCTGCGATTTGATTGCCAGTTGTGTGATACTTGATGCTTTTCTTCAAGCCCCATCTCCTGGAGTCATGTTATTACATGAGATTCTCAGTTTTTCTTTTTTTAAAAATTAAGTCTCTAGCCTGTGGAGAAAAGCTTGAAAACATGACTCCGAAAGGCTCAAACACCAAGAGATAAGCACAACAAACCTCAAATTTATTTATTTATTTATTTATTTAAAAATTCTCTTTTTTTTTTTTGGGAGGGGGGGACTTGACTCTCAGTTTTTTAACCCTTGGGGTTGGCAATACTGATATTGTATATTTTGTAGAGTATACGTGTTGTGTGCTGTGTCATTCTCAGCATTGTGTATGTTGGGGTGACGCGTGTGATGTTTGTGCGTCTCTCTTGGCATGTGTATCTGGCAAGGGGTGTCTCTTGTGCTCACTCTCTGAGGTGTGTAATTGGGGTTTGTCTCTTCACAGCAAGTGGACTTTAGCCTAGGATTGGCAGCTTAGGGGACTAGTTTCCAAAACTTGTTGCTGCACAAGCAAGTGGACTTTAGCCTAGGAGGGACTGCAGATAATGAGCTGTAGGGGAACCGTGGATGGGGAATGACTAACTCATGAGCTGTGTCTGTGTCTTTGTGATTCAGAGCGCGGCTGTCTCTGAAGCATACG